GGCTGAGGTGGGAGGGTCACTTGGGCCCAGGAGCCTGCAGTGAGCTATGAACATGCCACTGCACTCCATCTTGGGCAACAAAGCAAGGCTCCACCTTGAAAAAAAAGAAAATATGAAAACTTCTATTTCTATGTATTTCTAAATTTCATTACTTCTTTACACAAATATTATGATATATAAAAATAAAAAGTAAAGAAGTAATGAAATTTAGAAATACATAGAAATAGAAGTTTTCATATTTTCTTTTTATTACTGTGGATGGTGAATTAAAAGCATTTAAAGACCACTGGTGCAGATAAATAGGCAATGCTCAGGTGCCTATTTATGTATATGAATATACATACCTATTCTGTGTATGTGACTGAATGTAGGAATTCAGCATTCAGTCCCTTTGCCACTGGAAGAGATTTCCCAGAAAATTTTAACTTTATATTTATTTATGCAGAGAACGTGTTCTCGTGACTGGTTACCTTAGTGATTGGCATCTGTCTGCTCCTTCCTGATGACGCTTTATGTTTTTTCTCAGTGCTCAGTGTTCTGGGGCTAAAAAGGACTTGGGAGGTCACAGAATCAGTAGACACTTGAATTTCACTTATGAATAAGCAGACCCCTATTGCTAAGAGTAGCAAGTGCAGAGTAATTCTTCCTAAAAGGTGAGAAGAGAGAAAGGAAATTATTTTGCAAAGTGTTATTCAATTTATATTATCTTTTTTATTTTTCGAGACAGAGTCTAACTCTTGTAGCCTAGGCTGGAGTGCAGTAGCACGATGGTGGCTCACTGCAGCCTCAACATTCTGGGCTTGAGTAGTCCCCCTGCCTCAGCCTCCCAAGTTGCTGGAACCACAGGCACGTGCCACCATACCCAGCTAATTTTCTGTATTTTTTGTAGAGATGGGGTCTCCCTTGTTGCCCAGGCTGGTCTTGAACTCCTGGGCTCAAGTGATCTTTCTGCCTTGGCCCCTGGATTTTAAAAGCACCAATAATGATGTATAATTAAATTTGTAGATATAAGTTAAAGTTAATGGCAAAATTGTATGTGAGAATTAGAGTTGATTCTCTATGTTCTGTTTCCTAACTTTTGTCGTTTTATTTTCCATTTGACCGGAAGTCTGGAGTGATAAGTTGTTAAGTCGTGCTTGCCTTCCTGAGAGCTAAATCAACCTTTCTTCATTAAAATCTAAGTCTTACTAATTATGTGGTAATGTATGAACACTTGCTTCTTTACAACTTGTCTTCTTTTACAAAGGTCCAAGACTTTTAACAAAAACGCATACAGAATTAGTTGGTAATTCTTCAAAATTAGAGAAAAGTGAAATAATTACCCATTCTAACACAATTTAAAATTCATTTTCAAGGCTGATAGCTCCTTTAATATCTACCCCTAGGGTCTATACCTTAAAGGGGTCATGTAAGCCAACAAATTCAATTCCATAGCTTGTTTAGAGGCTGCCCAGAGAAGTCCTTAAAAACACTCCCTTTCAGAATTATTTAAGCCCAGGAATTTGAGGCTGCTATGCGCTATGATTGTGCCACTGCTCTCTGGCCTGGGTGATAAGCAAGTCCCTCTCTCAAAAATTTAAACAATTTTTTTTTTTTAAAAGAGGACAGTTACTAAGTTTTATGACAAAAAAGACTCCTTTCACAAACCTGAGATTAATATTTTGTAAGGGGTAATGTGAAGGAGTGAAAAGGCTGGAGAAGAATTTACAGTTTCAGAAAGCAGTGTCCTCACACTATGTAGTTTTCTAATAAAATCCAAAAATTCTAGGCAAAAATCCAGATGTTCTACGAAACCTTCATGGTTAATATTATGAAAACACATACTCCATCTGAGCATGAATTTATTTAACCATCCAAAGACATCATCATGGATTTCTGATCAGTGAAATTTAGTATATTTGGTTAAAGAATGAAATTTTCTTTATCACACATGTGGTTTTGAATCCTGCTAGGTCAGTCAGGCTTCATGCTCAGCAACTGTGCTCCCTTATATAGACATATAATATAATTTGGGACTTACTAAGGTAAAATTTTTCCGCTTCTGGCACATTCACCTTTACTATATTTTTATAGTTTTCACAGTTTTATAATCGTTTGCCATCACATTTTTAAATTCGGAAGCACATATTTGTATGTCTCATATTGAGGACTCAGTTTTCTTGGAATTACATTTTCAAAGTCATTATTGAAAATGGAGTTTTTAGTAATCAAACTATTTGTTTTCTTGTATAACTGAAATTATGACTCATTCAGTGGAGTGCCCAGAGCTTGCTTGATTTTATCATGGAACATAAATCTCTTTAAAAACCATGGCATGCTTCTTCCCTCCCACCCGCAAGCAGTTAGTTTAAGTAGAGACCCTCTAGAAAGCAGCACCTTATGGTGACTAAGAGTTTTGCAACTATGTCTAAAGGCCAGGTATTTAAATTGCTACTGCTGAGCTGATCACTGAGCAAAAATTTGCCAGGAATTTAACAGATAACAAGGAAAGTCCCTGACAACGAGTGAGATCTGTTGAAGAGCAGTCATTACCACCATCACAATGGCTCAGAAAAATTGCTGTGATTGGAAAAGGAGGGTTTGTGTGACTGCCAGGGAGATGTTTTATATTCCTTAGTCCTTTGTTCATTTAGGTGTTTAATGGACATATATTGTGTATTAGATACTGTGCTTGGCACTTAGTGACAATAATCGCTCTAGTTTCTGTTCCTGTGAGACAGAACGTATGAAATCCAGGAGCAACAATGAAATAGGGAATATATTTTTTTCTTCCTGGTATTTCTCTGTTCTATAATGTAAGAAGATTCTGTGAAGTGTCTGGTCACTCCTTGATTTAATTTGTGACTCTCAGAGAATTCACAAGAGAATAGCCATCTGCATGATGAAGTAAATGGGATTTGACTCAGATGTTTTAGAAGTCTTGGGGACAGTGGACAAACCAAGAAATTACTTAACTTTTAGAGTTCAGAATGGATATATAGAAGTCTTGTAAAAACGTGGAGAAAAAATTGAGGAGAAAAGCATTCAGTGATTGATAGTTATGGCTTTGTGAGAGGAAGTAAACTGTACTACATTCCATGAAAAATACTCCAAATCGTTCTAGATTGAGATTTAAAGACAATTTGAAGAATAACAACTGGGTACATCTATATACTGTTCCATCTTTGTAAAGGATGAGTGAGTGACGCCATGTGTTGTTTTTTCTTTCTTTATGATCATGAGACTGCTGTTCTTCTCATGGCAGTTTTTCCAATTTAAGGACAAGTACCTAGAGGGACATGGACAACTTCTTGAATGCTAAAATTTACAATCCCCAAATATAAGTTCAAATGTCACTTTTTTTGGCATTCTGGTTTTCTGACACAATGGCATATGAAAAGTTTGGTTTAGTAGGTAAGCTATTGTTTAACGCTTAAGTCACATTTCCATTTGCCAAAATGAAAACAGCATTTATAACATCATTAAAAGAGGTTCTCAGTTCTTGAAGCAGTGAGAAACACCTTATTCAGTTAAATTACTTAAAAACAAAATAATATATACTAAAACAGAAACTGAGACTTTTCCTCTCATATTAAGGTGGGATAGCTTCAATTAATAAAAATATAAAGTCAAACCAACCCCCCAAAATTAAAATCCATGTTTGATATTTAAGCTAAAATACTCATAGGCCAGTTTAAAGGGATGATCCCCATTTTCTTTAGAATGAAGTTATATATTTTTGTTTATATTCTAAAACAGATATAACATTTTAGAAAATCAGAAGAGGTGTATGGAACTGATAACTTTAGTCTGGAGTGGCTAGATTATTCTTTAAAACCAGGATATATATTTTTTTCCTTTATAAATATTTTGTGATTCAGGAAAAAAAAATCAGAGAAAAAGAAAATTACATTTAAGGGAGAGGGGACATAGGATGCCCAAGTTCTTTAGCACTAGAAGCCCATGGCTGGGAGCTGCTGGGGAGAGGACAGAGCAAGGTAAGGAGGCTCTTGGTGGAATGATGCCTGTCTTCAGACCCACATACTTTCTAGGTGAGAACCTTGAGAAGAAGCACACCTTGTCCAACTTAGTGTTTCCTACTGCAGCTTAGTACTTCCCAGGCAGAATGAGCAAAATAGGCTGGTGGAAGAACAGTAGCTGACATCATAGGTGACATGGACCACTGTGTTCAGTGAAGGAGCCTATGTTTCGGAGCTATTTCAGACACCTGGGTTGAACTCTAGCTCTGCTACCCCTTTCCTGGGTGGGCTGACATAGGTTATTTTCTCTACTGAGATTATGACATCTCTATTTTAAAGTGGGATACTTACTGTTCGGATTTCAGGGAGCCATTACAAACTGTTCTTTCATTCCTGAGCTCCAAACAGTCCATGAGAGTGATGGCGATTGGATCATCAGCTTTACTGCTGCAAAAGGAAGCTGGCAATGTGACTTAATTCTATAGCCAAATGGTCTTACTAACAGCCCTGCCCTAAGTCAATGGAAGTGTGAAGAGTGAGGATGCAACTCCCCTTAACACCTACCCAGAGGGCTTTAGGATGGAATTATTTCATTTGCAGGGGCAATCAGTAAGTCTTCCTTTTCACCCCACTCTTCCAATCTGATTTCGAATATTCTGTAAATCAGCAGAAATGAGCATATTAACTGGGTTAAACAAGATTTATGGGGCCAATTTTTTTTTTAAGTCTTGTAGGGGCCAGGTGTGGTGGCTCATGCCTGTAATCCCAGTACTTTGGGAGGCCAAAGCAGGTGGATCACTTAAGGTCAGGAATTCAAGACCACCTTGGCCAACATGGTGAAACCCTGTGTCTACTAACAAGACAAAAATTAGCCAGGTGTGGTGGTGGGTACCTGTATTCCCAGCTTCTTAGGGGGCTGATGCAGGAGAATCACTTGAACCCGGGAGGTGGAAGTTGCAGTGAACTGAAATTTCACCACCGCACTGTAACTTGGATGACAGAGTGAGACTGCATCTCAAAAAAAAAAAAAGTCTTCTAGGAAGTGCCTGCCACAGCATCATGGGTTGTTCTGTCACCTAATCAATGATTCTTTGGAGCCAGCTAGGACAGGGCTTTCTTAATGCTAGGTAGAAGGACTGTTTCCAACAAATGTTCGAGAAACCTGCTTTGTGGAGATAATGGTTTCCTAGCAATAATACCAGCCTGAACTTTCCTGAGCTATATTTTTTTGTAGTTTAATCTACTAGATTGGATCAGGCTCTGATTGAGTTTTTCACACAAGCATTAAGGAGAAGAGATCCAGAGAGAGCACACCATCTAAAAGCAGCTGTCACATATCATATAAGAATGTCAGGATGATTAGATTTATTTTAACTACTTGGAAAAGTTTATAAGATTCCCAAAACCTTTGTACCTCCATACCTCTTTGCTATTTTTATTACCATCTGTATAGTGTCCTATTATGATTAGCCAGCAAGCTCTTAAAATGGAAAGGATTTATATGCATGTTTTTAGTGGCAATAAAGAAAAAAAAACCAGTGGAGTGAATATTTCTGCCAGGTTGGTGTGGGACCTAGGAGGGAGAGCGGGTGATGGCATCTCACGGGCTGCATCTCAGAAGTCTGTGGAAAGAGAAAAAACAAAGTGTGGGAGATAGGGGCAGGGACTATATAAGAGGTCAATAATAGAAATCACCCTAGACTCTTACTAAGCCAGAGACAAATGGGTAGGTTTCCTGAACATAGCTAGACTGAAATTTATGCTTATAAATGTCCAGAAGTTTTTTCAAAAAGTATTTCTTAATTTCTAATTTAAAAATAAAACAAACAATATTTCTTAGGAAGTTATCCTTCCATCACAGATATGTTAATTTGGATAAGATTCTTAGATGAAGTGAATTGATTAATGTGAATATTAATTCATAAATCTTAGATATCAGCAAGTGAGTAGGATTTGTGACTTGTTTGACAATATTTCTTACATATAGTATTCGTTTTTCCTAGATCATCTGACTGCCAGTATTTCATCTCGAGAGTGGCAATTTAAAAAGGAAAAACATTTTTTCCCCTGGGCTTAGACTCCACTAAAACTTGTGGGTTAAACATTTTACCCAAATATAGACCTTTTAGTGATTAAGTTAATTTACTCTTTTCAAACTGTGACATCCTGTTTATAAGAAAGAAGACTTATAAAAAGTAATCTGAGCATGAACTAACTCTTCTAAAGTCAACATCTTGGTGAACTTATGTGTTAAATGAGTCACAAGTATTTGGATGAAGGTTTTCTGGTTTTGAAAGAGAAAGTACTTGGGAAAAAAATGTCATTTTGGTTTCATTGAAATGGAAACATTTGAAAAAATGAAATTCACTGGTAGCCTATCATGTAACAGGTTTACACACATATTTCTTTAGTCAGTTCTGTGAATTCAGGGCTGCATCCTCCATGGGCCAACTCTTAACCATCACGAGATGCATTTAGCCTCTATAATTCTTCCCAGAAATGATTTTGTGGTCGCACAAAGTAAAAATTTTACAATATTTTGAAAGCAATATTATTCACTTTGTAAAATGTGTCCTTAAAATTATTTTTGTCCCAAAAGAAAGCTGAACTGGTGCCTATTCAAATTATTTACCTTACAGAAAAATGCTGTCTCTTTACTCTGACTCTTTATTATTTGAAATTGTCATTATGAGCAACTTAAAATTTAATTTTCTTTACAATAATATTATACTCAGTATTTTATACTTGATTTTACTATCCACTTTGCAATTTCAACTTGATTTTTAATATATACCTGCAACTTATTAGCAAAATTTAATTTCTCTACAATAACATTAACTCCGTATTTTACACTTGATCTTTAATATACTTGCAATTTGCTGGTTGAATTTTTGTGAATTGAGCAAGTCTGTGCTGTTTGTCCGAAAATCCTTATCTTCTGCCCTGTTCTATTAAGTGTTGGATCTGCATTTAAGAATCTTGTTGATTATTATGTCCAGCACTTCAAACCTCTCAGTTTCAGTTTCAATTACTTTTCTTTTTTTAAAGTCACTATTTCTTCCCCTATTCACTTACGGTATCATCTCCCAAATGTAGGTCTTTGGTTATCAGACAGCTCTTCCTCTCACTTACACACCAACTAATTGGCCATCAGTCCTTGCTGATCCGGCCTCTAAAATGACTCTTCATTCCATTTCTGCCCTAACTCAGACACAATAATTTCTTAGCTAATTTAGAACAAAAGCTTCTCATGGGCTTCCCTGGCAATTTGCTCTTCTATGCCACTAGATCTTTCTGTGCAGATAGTCAAACACGGATATATAGGACTTACCCCCTAGAGACTTTTATCTATTCTCCGTTGAGTATCAAGACTTACCCCCTAGAGACTTTTATCTATTCTCTGTTGAGTACCAAATCTTTACAATCTGACACAGCATACTTTTTCTAGATTCCTCTTTTTTTTTTTTTTTTTTTTTGAGATGGAGTTTTGCTCGTTACCCAGGCTGGAGTGCAATGGCGCGATCTCGGCTCACCGCAACCTCCGCCTCCTGGGTTCAGGCAATTCTCCTGCCTCAGCCTCCTGAGTAGCTGGGATTACAGGCACGTGCCACCATGCCCAGCTAATTTTTTGTATTTTTTTTCTCGTAGAGACGGGGTTTCACCATGTTGACCAGGATGGTCTCGATCTCTTGACCTCGTGATCCACCCGCCTCGGCCTCCCAAAGTGCTGGGATTACAGGCGTGAGCCACCGTGCCCGGCCAGATTCCTCTTTTCTACCTATCTGCTCTGTGACCCGATACACATGGAGATTTATCCATGACTAAAAGTTATTTGAGTATACTGTATGTTTTCCACACTGGACTATTCCATGTTTTGATTCCCATTACTTAAGACTCACTTTTTCCCTTCTTGCTTTCCTTCTTCCAGAAGTAAAAATCACTTCTTTTATGTCCTCTCATAGTACTTTTTTATTCTCCTTGCCATCATGCAATGTACCCCATTGATGTTAACTGTCTATATGAGGATTTTTTGGGGGCTAAATTATGATTTTTTTCAAGAGGGGTATTTGATTTCTTATTTGTGAAAATAAAAGTAGCTTCACTGTTGGGACTTAATAAGTGCCCCCATATTAATGGGGCACTGAACAAAGGGTGCGTCGAAATGAACCCGGATTCTCATAGATAGAGTTAGTGTTCCAAGTGGATGAAGTTCCAATTTTGAGAAGTACTTCAAGGATTAAAGAAAAAGAGTTTGCCAATTTTTTCCTTGAGAGCTAGGGTTTTATTTTATGGCAGTCATGGGAATTTCTCTGAAAAGTCAGAGAATAATGAATGGCGGCGGTATTACCTGTAAATTTCTATTTGTTCTCATGCGAACCACCAAGTCATTGTCTCTGGCATTTGTTAGTGATTCATTGTACCGATGACTTTAATATAAAAACCATCACTAGAGTCGTTCACTTGCTGTTCAGTTTGGCATTAAGTTGATTAGTTAGCATGTATTTATTGGCAATGAGGTAAATATACTAAGTTAAATGCACACCAACAGAAATATAATCTCTACCTTCCATTTGTTAAAATAGAGGTGGAAAAAGAAACTTAGTGCACATCGAATAATTTAGACTGAGACAGATTATATAAATGTCAATGAAACATGGAGCAAGGAAAAATCATGATGATCTGAAGAAGCAATGAAAGGTCTCATTAAGAAAAACTTAAGTTGTTCTTGAAAAATAGGTAAGAACTACATGAGTGAAAATGAGAAATTAAAAATGAAGAAAACAGTAAGGATCCATTGACAAGAATACTAGATTTCTATGTTTTGCAAACCAAAATTCAGTTAGTAATTTTAGCAATACCTGGACTGTTGACTTTTAGGAATATGAAGTTATTTTGTTCTACTTTGTTTATGTCTTCAGGTGGATCCGATATTGAATATCTGGACTTCTATAAGCCTGTTGTGTGGTTCTGGATCCTTGTAGGACTTGCTTACTTTGCTGCTGTCCTGAGCATGATTGGAGATTGGCTCCGAGTGATATCTAAAAAGACAAAAGAAGAGGTGAGAATGAAGAAGTGTGCAAAAACACTTCTATTTAGTTAATTCAGTAAAGGTTATTTTAACTTATTTTTTTGTTTACATTTCAAATATTTAAACATTTTAAAATGTTAGTATTTTCTATTTGGCATGAATTTGCTGTATGAGGCTATGCGCAAATATATGAGTTTAATTTATTCACTTAGAAAATGTTTCTGTGCCAATTGCTGTCTCAGAACTGAGGGTAATTTCTAATTAAATGAAAAAGGATGTAACTAAAATAATTTTCTTCATTATTTATTTTTCTTTTGTTTTCTTTCTTTTGTTCTCAAGGGCACAAAATGAATTTTATTCTGTAAAGAAAAATATAATAGAAAATATTTGTATTAAGATACCAGTAGCATGAAATAGTGAATGTTTTAAATAATGTGCATGTTTTTACCTTTAAATTATTTTATTTTTCTTATTTCTATATAAATTTGTACATACACACGTATAGATATATTACAAAGCTATATGCATTATGGCCATTTTCCCTATATATAGAGTTTAACAATTTAAAAAAGGTGTCCATTTACTTATCATGTACAACTATATATGTAGAAGTGACAATTAGAATTTTGACCCATGAAATTTTGGAAAATTTGAAATTTAAATATTGGTTTTGTAATTCTACAGTTTGGAAATTCAATTTTGATTTTAAATTTACCTATCTAGGATCACTATTAGTTTGAATGTGACAGAGCAATGTTTTACTAAGAAATGTGTATTTCTTGCTTCTGGGTCTTAGTCAACTTTGCTAATTGTTTCAGAGAACAACAAATCTGTAAAACTTGTACCTATAGTACCTATTGCCTTCCTTTAACTATCTATTCTTAGACCACAGACATCAGTGTCAAACTCTTTGACTGCTACAAGCATGAATTATTTGAGCATATATACCAAAGAAATAGAATAAGATAGAAAATGATGAAATTAACTTCCCTTACAAATGTTTTCTTCATTTTCTTTGAAAGCTATAAGGTCATATAGTTTTTTTTTTTTTTTTTTTTTTTTTTTTTTGAGACGAAATCTCGTTTTGTTGCCCAGGCTGTAATGCAGTGGCATGATCTAAGCTCACTGCAACCTCTGCCTTCCAGGTTCAAGTGATTCTTCCATTTCAGCCTCCTGAGTAGCTGGAACTACAGGCCCGCACCACCATACCCAGCTAATTTTTTTTTTTTTTTTTTTTTTTTTTTGTATTTTTAGTAGAGACAGGGTTTTATCATGTTGGCCAGGCTGGTCTCAAACTCTTGACCTTCAAGTGATCTGCTCGCCTCTACCTCCCAAAGTGCCAGAACTACAGGCATGAGCCACTGCGCCTGGCCACATTATATAATTTTTTAATCATACCCATGGTGCCTATATGAACTAGCAAGAATGTAAATTATCCATACTTCAAGAATATCATAGTTCCCAGTTGGGAATTTACTTTATTCAGTCTGTATGCATTAGTCTATATCTTAGTTGCAGCATCAAACCAGAATCTATTTATTATGAACAAGTCAGTAAGACAATATGCTTGACACTCCAATTTAAATTGTATGAAACGTCTTGCTTTGAATAGGACCTCAGTGGATTTGCCTCAACCTTAGGCTCATTGTATGTGGGTTACATGTGTGAGTGTGGTTTCTGTGATGAGCTGGGGGCGGGAGAGAACGTGAGAAATATGATGGATGGCTATTCTTCATGTGTACTTCATGTGTATATTGAGATGCTAAAGGAAAAAATGGAAATTGTAGCTAGGGAATGTTTTGAGTAACATAGCTAAAAAGAGAACTACTCAAACATCCAGTCATCATCTGGCTTTCAAATGGATTTAAAAACACATGCACGCAAGCATTTATTTTTTAAATAAAATAGACTTGAACAGAACCTATTTCAAACAGTCAGGCAGTTAGGAAAGGTATTGTTTTGTGATACACACATACAATATTATAAATAAATAATATGTTATATACACATATACACTAATATTTTTGTGGTTCACAGTCCAAAAGTTTGAAACCCACTAAAGCACATAGAGTACAAAGAGAAATTTTATATCTTTATGAATTGATGAAATTGGTATAGAATACCTGCTTAAATTTAAAAACCCTGTATTATTAAAAAACAGTGCTTTTTGTGATAGGACTAGCTGGGTCAAAGAATCAGCATACTTTTCCGGACTAATGAGTCTGCTCTGGCTGTTACATCAAAATACAACAGACTGGGTTAAACATGGACTTTTTTTTCCTTATAATTCTGGAAGCTAGAAGTCCAAGAAGGTGCTAGCAGGGTTGGTTTCTGGTGAGACCTCTCTCCTAGGCTTGCAGGTGGTACCTTCTCACTGTGTCCTCACATGGCCTTTTCTCTGTGTACATGCGTGGACAAAGAGAGCGAGAGTATGTGAACATGTGCTCGTTGGTGTATTTTTCTCTTCTTACAAGGATACCAGTCCTATCAGATTAGGACCCCACTTTTATGACCTCATTTAACCTTAATTACCTTATTAAAATCCCTGTCTCCAAATACAGTCACACTGGGGCTTAGAGCTTCAACATATGGCTTTTGAGGAGACACAAATTAGGCCATAACACCATCTTTTCAAATAAATTTAAATTTCTACATAACTGATTCATTGAAAATGAAAAAGAAGGCTGGGTGTGGTTGCTTACACCTGTAATCCCACAGTTAGGGAAGCTGAGGCAGGCAGATCACTTCAGCCTAGGAGAACAAGATCAGCTTAGCCAACATAGTGAAACCTCATCATCTCCACTAGAAATACAAAAATCAGCTGGGCGTGGGGGTGGGTGCCTGTAGTCCCAGCTACTCAGGAGGTTGAGGCAGGGGAATCCTTTGAACCTGGGAGGTAAAGGTTACAATGAGTGGAGATGGTGCCACTGCACTACAGCCTGGGTTAACAGAGCCAGACTCTGTCTGGAAAAAAAAAAAAAAAAAAAAAAAAAGGTTGTGTGCCTACTTATCAGTGAGCTTCATGACTCTCAACTGAAAGTATGAGATGTTTCATTGTGTTTTCATGCTAGTTAAACGTTGCAGGGTTTTGTTTTGATTTTTCTTACCACACATCTTTTGGTATCTACCTAGTATTCTGGGTAGCATCTACTTTCTGGTGATTGCATCTGTCAGAAGCTCACATGAGTCAAGGCTATGACCAAAGCTTTAAGTGAACCCTGAAAAGATGCAGCTTCTCTGGATGGTTGAGCCAGTTGAAATGGAGCTTTCAATGGGAGCAAATATATATATTTTCTAATTTATAATACAGTGTAGGGAACTGCAAAATGGGGTCACAAATTCAACAGAGAATGTGACGAAAGAGAAAGGCCCCTTATAATTTATCAAAATATTATCATTGCCAAAATTTTTATAAACAAAACACTAAGATTTCTAAAGCAATGGAAAAATGATTATTAATTTAAATTTTAAAATAACTTGCTAAAGGGTATAAATGAATAAAAACCCACTAAATATATTTTAGTTGTCATCTCTATGTAGATGAAGCAATCATCTCTATGTAGATGACGCCAGGTGATCTGCTCAATAGGTATTCCTTACTTTCCATGCGCAAGTCATCTCAGGCACTGTTAGTTTCAAAAACTCTCAAAGTGTTAAGAAACAACAAGGTTATTTCTAGTTTTCAGTTTTGATGAATAAAAACACTAAACATTTTTGATAATTGGGAATCCTCTTCACTAAAAATGTAACTGGTGCAAACTATAAAAAACACAAAATTAAATACAGCTTTAAATTTTCCAAGTGATAAGCATACTTTGACACATGCCTTCCCTGAATGAAAAGATTTCGGCTAATAACCCGAGTCTTATATTATTTTTTCAAAAACAAATCTGCATAAACCATATTGGTTTAAGTATGAAAATACAGATCTAGTCGTATGTGCCCTTATTCCATTTCTGCTTTTTATGTTAAAAGATATTCTGTTTCCAGTCAGGTGGCTGTGGCTCACGCCTATAATCCTAGCACTTTGGGAGGCCAAGGTGGGTGGATTAACTAAGGTTAGAAGTTTGATACCAACCAGCTTGGCCAACATGGTGAAATCCTGTCTCTACTAAAAATACAAAAATTAGCTGGGCCTAATGGCCGGCTCTTATAATCCCAGCTACTATGGAGGCTGAGGGAGGAGAATCACTTGGACCCAGGGAGGAGGAGGTTCCAGTGAGCTGAGATCATGATACTGCACTCCAACCTGGGTAGCAGAAAAAGACTCTGTCTCAAAAAAAAAAAAAAAAATGTTTGCAATGAAGAATAATTTTAATGAAATTATGTATTGTTTTCCATAAACATATTGAAATACAACATGATATAGCTAATTCATCTGAAATATTTGAAGAGGAAATGATTTGTTGAAACACACTATATATTCAAAAGTGCCACATGTAATTATAGTTGATCTGCATCAAGGAAAACAATAGTGAGCTTGATAATTTTCCAGTTTTCCACTGAAACATATGCATGTCTGTAAAAGCGTTTGTCTTTTTTTTAAGCTCCAGTGGAGGATAGGCACATGTTTTCATAGAAAACTAATCTTTTCTATGAAACTATGTACTATCTTCTGAGGAAATAATGCTTCCACCTACAAAATAAAGCTTATTTAGATATTCTGGATAATACAATAATACTGCTACAATGAGAGAGGAATAATAGAAGTAAGATATGACCACAAAACTCAGAAGGTAAAATCTATGCTTGCTTAGGAAGAAAGCAGGGAGTAGGGTGTCATTGCTATGCACAGGCATACCTCAGGTTCCTAATGTTTACATTTCTTGAGCTTGAAAGGGCCTGTAATTTCTACATACTCCCTGTATTGATGCCCATACACCAGTGTTTGGGTATTCCTGTGCACATATGAGATAAATATACCAAAGCATGCCAGTGCTGTCGGGGCGGGTGGCACTATAGCTGGCCACAGTGAACTGATAGCCAAGCAGTGCTTCTCTGCCCATACAATTTCTTAGTCTCTGGAGATG